TTTTTTTTTTTTTTTTTTAATTTACTATAACAATGTGGAAAAAGAAAAATGGAGAATTTGTTGAGGTATTTCTTTTTTATTGGTAATAGTTGTGTTTTAAAAGTTTCTTGGTACCTTCTTGGTCTAGAGTAAACAGATAAGGCCAAGGGAAGGTTTGATTAAGCCAAATGTAAGCTCCATTAGGGAAAGTTTGTTCATTCTTGTATTTCTCGTCTCTAAAACAGTGCTCGGCACATGAGAGAGGCATTCAGTAATTGTTCAGTATATGGCAGTATGCAAAACAGTTTACATATCAAGTACTTTTAAGGAGGTAAGAGTTTGCTTTGAATAACTTAAAGTGACCTATCAGAAGTTGTTGCAATTGATCTTACATAGAGTTTATATTAAATTTATTATGGATTTTTGAGGTTTATTATTAAAATTGTGGGAATAATTAAATCATTTAGACTCTTTCTGTGTAAATTACGTTTGTAATTTATTATTGGTGGTGTGAATAAAGTTCGTGAATTAAAAGCATTTTCATTTTCCTCTCTTAGGATCTAATGGAACAGTTTCATCAAGTTGAATCTCACCTGAATAAGCTAAATCATCTCCTTACAGATATTCTTGCTGATGTGAAGGCAAAAAGAAAAATTTTGACAGCTAATAAACTGCATCAAATGGAAAGAGAATTATATGTTTATTTTTTTAAAAATCAAGATTATCTGCAAGATATCGTGGAGAATTTAGAAAACCAATCAAAGATTAAAGCTGTTGGTCTTGAAGATTGAATACTACTAAAAATTTAATCTCTACTACTGTGTTGATTTGGAATATGTTATGTTTTAATGTTTTACATATTAGGACAATACATCATATCTAACACTACTAAATTTTTAAATTCAAGGTCAATGGAACATTTTATTTAATGAACTCAAATATTACATCAATTTGTTTTTTTCCTAATGTAACATGTTTGTTCAAATCGCCAGAGCTTTTTATGACTTGAACATTGGCTGGTGGCACTTCAGTGGGTGAGATACTTAGTGCTGGTAGTTTTTTACCTACAAGGAAAAAACATGATTATATAATGTAAATATTTTTTAATATAATTATAGTTCTCCTTTACCCTTTTTTTGGGGGAGGGATAGAAATTTTCTACTGTTTAAATTTATTAAAAATATTTGTTCAACTTTGAGTCAGCATTGTTAAATCTGTAGGCCTTAATATATGGTGTGGCCAGGTTCCTTCGTATTTGACTGTAGAGAAAATTCTACCCTTCAGACTGCATTTCCCCATAGTTCCCAGCTATAGACTTTGAGGCTGTTTTAATTAATGTTTCTACTTAAACGACAAAGAATGTCAGGATTCCACTGGCCATTGTTTAGTTTAGGGGCAGGGTTCTGGGGACTCAAAATTTGTGCAAGACAGATTTCAGCAGTGCTTTGACTTCAGTGTGATTTAGATGATGAATGACCTCCAAGGGAAATTCAGAAATCCGTTAAGGTGTTGCTAAAAGGATGTATGATGCTATTTTAATCAGTTTCTTTGGAATGAAAAAAAACAAGCGTTGGGTTGCATTTAATGTAGAAAACTAGGAGCCCTGGTGGCTCAGTGGTTAAGATCTCAGCTGCTAACCAAAAGGTTGGCAGTTCAAATCCACCAGCCACTCCTTGGAAACCCTGTAGGGCAGTTCTACTGTGTTGTGTAGTGTTACTCTGAGTCGAAATCGACTCGACGGTGAAGGTTAGGTATAGTATTTGGACAATTAGAAATTACTTGATGTTGATATAAAATAATTTGAAGTAGCTTATTACTAGTTATTGATCAAATGCTTCTTGATTGCCCAATTTAGTCATGGCTGTATTAAATACCATATGAGTTTTATAGAGAAAAGAAGGCATAGCTGTTATCTTCAAGAGTATTTCTTACCTCCTTTTACTATGGAATGCCAGTCAAAAAAGTACATATTTTAGGTAGTCTTCATGGAATTGTTTTCATCTGTAATCAGAATTCCAGGTGAAAGATGAGCCCTGTTGATTTAATTCATTCAACAAAAATGTTTTTGCCAATTATTGTATTTATGCATAATTTTAAAATTTATATTAAGTAAGTCTTAATATACTTAAAATTTTATAGCAATAAATTTTGTCTTAAGATTTTACTTTTGGCTGCTTCTCACTTGAGTGACTGTTTTTTGTTGTTAATTGTTTTTTTCCTATTCTACCCAGTGATGGAGAATTTACTTGTAATTTTTCTTTTCTCCAGCATGAAAAATATAACACCTGGTTTCTTCACTCATGGTAGCAAATTCTGTTTGCATTAGTGCCAAATATGTTAGATGTGTGACCAGATGCTTGCTGATTTGTACTGGCCCCTACCGTACCTTCAGCCAGGGCCCAGTAGAACTGAGTAGTAGGATGATACTTGTGTATCTACCCTCATTACCTAAGTCAGCTGTAAATGATTTTAGTGTATATTTGAAGATTAACAGCTATTTTTTCAAACCTCAGGAAGTATTTGAGTAGATTACTTGCTTCAAAATTGGTTGAATAGAAAATATGTTCTTTAGTTTGCTCTTTCTTTTCCATAATACTCCAGTTGAACCTCTGACTTTTTTGCTTTACTCTTACTATCTTATCTATTATGGGGTAATTGATAACTGTTTACTGTGGTTATTTTTAACATAGCAATTTTTATGAAAGGCTTAGTACATAAGTTTTTCAAATAACTTGTGCTTCTTATTTTGAAGTCTCAAAATTAATATATGGGCATTTATCTTATGTTTAGGCTTTTATGAAAATGGAAAATTCTGAGGCATTTGTAGGCTTTGATCTCTATAAGACACCGCTCTCCAGCATTGCTCAGAAGATTATGTCTGCTATGCATTCAGTTGATTTAGTGGATTCTGAGAATTTGAGAGAGAGTGAAAAGAGTGAGTAATTTTTATGAACCTTTCTGGGTTTTGTTGCCTTGAACATTCATTATTTTTAAGGCTAGGATTTGAAAATGAAGTGTCACAAAATTATTCCATAGAACTTTGTGTAGGAAAACCCCATGTCTACAAATAAATGAAGCTCAGCACCCCCTTCACACACACACATACCACCTCCTGGCTCAGTGTTGCCCGAGCTTCTGGCATTTCTGTCAAACATTTCCTTAGAATTTGCATTATGCGTTTAAGTATCCTGAAGAGATAGACTCTTCCACAGTGCCTCTTTCTTCCAGGTCATTGTATTTGCTATTGTGTATGGTGGACTAGAGAAGTGTTCTTGGTAATAAGTATATTGTATTACAGTGGAAACGTAAACTTTTACGTGACAAAGATCAGTGTATTTGTATACGTATGCGTTTATGACAAGTGCTGATGGCGCAGTGGTTAAGCGCTTGGCTGCTAACCAAACATTTGGCGGTTCAAACCCACCAGCTGCTCCATGGGAGAAAGATGCGGCACTCTGCTTCCATAAAGATTTCCAGCCTGGGAAACCCTGTGGTACAGTTCTACTCTGTCCTATAGGGTTGCTATGAGTTGGTGTCGACTCAACAGCAGTGGGTTTGATTTGAGTTTTTGGTGTTTATGCCATGTTGTGCATTAGGTGATGTTTATAATAGAAAAAGCAGTGGCATATGCTCACAAGTGTAGCTGAAATGTTTGGAACTTCAGAGTTTATAATTTTTTGCTACTAGCAAAGCAGTTTTAATTTTAAATTTGCAAGTTGGGTCCAATAATTTGTAGTTTGTTTCTTTTCCTACAGAGTAAGGTGATTGAAATATAATTAATTATTTTGAGGTGAAATAATTGAGAATATCACCAAATATTAAAGCAAAAGCTGTTAAAAATGCTATTTGTTATTTAAGATATAGTAACACTTAACATTTTGATCTATTTACATTCAGGCATCTATGATTGTGTGCCTTATTATAGTAGAAGTCATTAATAAATAAACCAGTAAGAATTTTTGGGTATAGGCTACTTACCTAGCAGTTGATAATGTTTTGGAGAGAATGGTGGGGATATTAAAGAAACATAAGATAAATATGCAAACATCAAAGAGATTTCTCCTTTACTCCATATACTTAGCTCTTTAAAGTGAAAGAACAAGTGGCACTTGACAGGTAGAAATGTACTTTCCTTTAAAAACTTGTAATAAGAATAACAAAATACCTCTGGTGGCTACAATGTGAGTCTCTACTGAGAAAAATTTTCAGCAGTCAGTCCATCTCACGTCAACTCTTGTCATGTTTCTGAACTAGGCTCTTAAAATCCTAGTTTTTGTAAAGATTACTCAGAAGATAATGGAAAAGATTACATTACTTTCCTTCCAAGTATTCTTGGATTTGGAGAAGTAGAAATTTCTTAAGGATTTTATATACTGTCTTGCTGCATAACATTACTACAAACGTCAAAAAACACCCCAAATCCATTGCCATCGAGTTGATTCTGACTCATAGCAACCCTGTACGACAGAGTAGAGTTACCCCGTGGGGTTTCCAAGAATGTAAATCTTTGTGGAAAGAGACTGCCACATCTTTCTCCCATGGAGTGGCTGGTGGGTTCCAACCGCTGACCTTTCGGTTAGCAGCTGGGCGCTTAACCACTGTGCCACCAGGGCTCCTCTACAATCGTAATGACTTAAAACAACATACATTATTATCTCACAGTTTCTGTGCATCAGGCAAGGCTGCAGTCAAGGTGTCTGCCAGGACTGGTCTCATCTGAGGCTCGAGAAGGGAAGGATTTGCTTCCAAGTTGACATGGTTGTTGGCAGAATTCAGTTCTTGCATTTTTTGGACTAAGGGCCTCCCTTTCTTGCTGGCTGTTGGCTCCAGCTGCCCTCACTTCCCTTCCATGTGGCCCCCTCCATTGGCAGCTCTACAATACCGAGCTTGCTTTTTCAAAGCCAGCGAGAGTCTTCCTAGCATGGCAGACATTACAGTCTTATGTAACTATGTACATCCTGTTGCCTTTGCTGTATTCTGTTGGTTAGAAGCTATTCAGTAAGTCCTACCCACACTCAATAGGAGGGTATTACTTAAGGGTGTAAATACCAGGAAGCAGGGATCATCGGACCACCTTAGAGTCTGTCCCCCACAGATTCCTACGAGTTTTATTCTTATTTCATGTGAATCTGAATTAAAGATGGATTGTTACTGGTTTTTAATGGGTGATGATCAACTTAAGACTTAATTGATTCCTGTACTCTTGTCACATTCTTATTTCTTGTAAGTAAAATATTGTAAATCAGGATTTCATATCTGAAAGCCCATTTCATATCAAATAAATATAATTGAAAACAAAAATTTAATGGCAATAAATAAACTAGAAATGCTTGCTTTCACAAACACTAAATAAAGTCAGATATTAAAACTGTGTGGTACATATCACTTTGGGGTCTAGTTTTCTGATGTGCGAGACTGAGGTTTCTCAAAATATAAAATCCAGTAAAGATTAGACTGTGTTGTCTTATCCTGATACATTTTCTTGCAACAAGCATAGATCTTTATTTAAAAAGACTTTTGCTGTGAAAAAACATAAAAATGCAGACACTTAGAATGCATCTTTATGAATTAACAGGAAGAGAACATCCATGTAACTACCACTTACATTGCCATCGCGTCAAAATTTCTCTGTCATTTACAACCCTCTCCTCACTTACAGTTAACCATTATCCTGACTTTTATGGCAACTACTTCCTAATCAGAGGCATTGTTTTTTTTTCTTTTTTTTTTTTTTTTAATTTCTAGTTTTGTACTTTAGATGAATATTTTTCAGAGCAAACTAGTTTCTCATTAAACAGTTAATACACATTTTGTTTTGTGACATTGGTTAACGACCCCATGAATGTCATCACTCTCCCTTTCTCAACCTTGGGTTCCCTGTTACCAGCTTTCCTGTCCTCTCCTGCCTCTTCTCATCCTTGTCACTGGGATGGTGTGCCCAGTTAGTCTTGTTTTGTTTTATGGACCTGCCTAATCTTTGACTGAAGGGTGAACCTCAGGAGTGACTTCATTATTGAGCTATAAGGGTGTCCGGGGACCATACTCTCAGGGTTTCTCCAGTCTTTGTCAGACCAGTAAGTCTGGTCTTCTTTTTTTTTTTTTTGAGTTAGAATTTTGCCCTACATTTTTCTCCAGCTCTGTCCAGGGCCCTCTATTGTGATCCCTGTCAGAGCAGTCGGTGATGGTAGCTGGGCACCATCTAGTTGTGCTGGACTCAGTCTGGTGGAGGCTGTGGTACTTGTGGTCCATTAGTCCTTTGGACTAATCTTTCCTTTGTGTCTTTGGTTTTCTTCATTCTCCCTTGCTACAGATGGGGTGAGACCAGTGGAGTATCTTAGATGACTGCTCACAAGCTTTTAAGACCCCAAATGCTATTCACCAAAGTAGGATGTAGAACATTTTCTTTTATAAACTATGTTACGCCAGTTGAGCTAGATGTTCCCCAAGACCATGGTCCCCACAGCCCTCAGCCCAGTAATTTGGTCCCTCAGGGAGTTTGGATGTGTCTATGGTGCTTCCATGACCTAATCACAGGCATTTTATATTGCTCCAAAGACCTTTTCTGGCAGAGGTGACTGGTTGTCCACCACAGCAGAATCCGTTCTTCCCTTATGCACACTATCAGACTACATCTCAGTCTCATTGCAGTTAGGTGTGACCACATGGCCAAGTTCTTGTCAGTGGAATATGAGTTCAAGTGGTATGTGCGATTTCCAGGCTAGGCCTAAGGACAGTGGACTTGCCTCCTCTGTGGCCTCTTTTGCTTTCCCACCAATTGAATGATAACAGTGTCCTAAAGGATTGTGGAACAACGTGCTGGAAGGGACCCAGGTCCCTGAATGACTTCATGAAACACAGCTGCAGCACCGACTGGGACCACTCACCTCAGAACATGAGAGAGAAATAAACTTCCTTTTTGGAAGCCATTGTATGTTGGGTCTTTTGGGACTGTTAACTTTTTTCTCTTAGCTCTTACACCTTTAGACTGTCTCCAAAATTGGATTCATTTGACTTAAATCTTCAGTCATTTTATTGTTCCCTCATGCTGCTGAGAGTGTTTGGTAAATACTGGGGCAGGGACAGTTTTCATGGTGATTTTAGGGGTGTCAGTTGATCTGGTGCTATGTATAGGATTATGCATATGATTAAGCACTTATTTATTGGTAATTTTTTTTGGTTTTGTCTAAGTAGCTATAGAAATAACATTTTCTAGTACTGGCTTGTTAGGATTCTTTTTCATTTTAACTTCTTAGAGCTTAGAGCTAAATGTGGTGTTTTCCAATAATATAGAAATATTTTTATAAACATTACAAATTAATACAATTTTGAGACCCTAAAGGTAAATATATGTTAAAATCCAGTTCATTAATGTGCAGCATGATTATATTCCCACCACCTATTGGAAATCTCTGTCATTTCAGGGACAAATATGTAAAACTAAATGACACAGTATATCTTTGTGATTATGTGTTTTCTTACCAGGAATATATGGATAAACATTTTATGCTATTCTTATTTCTGCCACATAAATGTAAAATCCTTACGCTCAGTCAGTTACCTGCAAAGTCTTAGATTTCAGTTCCTGCTGTCACTTCCCTCTTGCAGGCTCTCATTTGTTCCACTTGGATTTTTTAACGGTCTCTGTCTTAGTTATCTAGTGCTGCTGTAACAGAAACACCACAAACAAATTTATTTTCTCACAGTTTAGGAAGCTAGAAGTCCTAATTCAGGGTGATGGCTCTAGGGGAAGGCTTTTTCTGTTGGCTCTGAAGGAAGATCCTTGTCTCTTCTGAGCTTTCTGTCCTGGACAGACTTCATGTGGCTTGGCGTCTCTCTTCCCCCATCTCGACTTCTTCTTGCTTGTTTAATCTCTTATATCTCTATAAATAAATTGACTCAGACACACCCTGCATTCATCCTGTCTCATTAACATAA